ACACTGATATCTTGATTGATGACGAAGACGGTGATGCCCATTTTTTCCTCGACCTTTCCGGTAAGCCGTCAGCGGAACGCGAGTTGACCCTGGACCATTTGCGTTGCTCGTGGCAGCACAAGCATCACCGACAAGAAATACCCGACGGCGATTGGGCCGATGCATTAGAGCAGCATCTGCAGAGGCTTGCTGACATGAGGGTCAACCGTGTTCAGGAATGGATCGAGTCAAACCTATCTCGGTTTACGGCCACGCACGCAACAATCACAGAATTGAAACGTGCATTTGATAATGCGCAAGTTGATTTGAGGTCAAGCGTTGCCCTGTGTAGGATGAAGTGTACAATTTGCAATCTTCTCTGCGTTGGAAGTCGTCGACATGATCCTGATGTGCCCCATGATTGTCGAACGTCTCACCAGTGTATCAAGCCTTGCGAATTCACTGATGAACATACCGATGAAGTAAAACCTTGTGGGTTTCCGTATGTGGTTGCTCATCCTCTCTCTATCTTCTATTCTGACAATTTATCCCGGATTCAGTGCTGGCCACACCGGGAAGCACATGTCAGTTTTGCTATCTGTTCTCTACGTGTATATTGAATGCGGATCAGATGCACCGTCGATACCCATTTGTGTGGCCATCCCTGCCGCTTGAATGACAAGATTGGATGTCTAGGTGATTGTACAAAGGTACTGTTCATCTGCATATACAGCTGCACCACTCCTGAGATATGTTTCTCAGATGGTAGATCATCTTGATGATCACATGTGCTCAGCTCGAAATCATGCCTGTGGTCAGGTCAGTATTCGTGTCTCGCGTTTGTAACAAGCTCACTGACTCCAATGAAATTCAGCCTTGTCAGCTGGAGAATGTAAGAGTGAACAAAGGACAGTCTTTCAGCTGCAAAGGAAAGTGTGTGATCCCCAGGTACGTACAACTGTGTTGTTTGAGTTTCAATCAAACTCTGATAGGCATTTCCATCCAGTTCTGAAGATCATGAAATTCATGTATGCGACAATCGTATGTGTCCAATTCCCTGCGAGCTTTGCAAACGTCTGTGCTCCGACGCCAACCATCTACACGGACTGGATATGCAAGCGATACATCTTTGCGGGTTAGTTCTTTTTTCTTTCCAGGTTCATTTCTTATGATCCTTGTCTAGTCAAGAGCATCCTTGCCCTGCAGTATGTGCGGCCCACGGAAGTTGTGAGATTGACACGGCTCCTCAATCTATCAGAGCGACGTTCACTGGCCGGCATGAAACGTTTGAGTACACGAAGGTTCGTGCAAATAAGTTGCATAATGAATGGGGTAGTGGCTGACTTCTTTATCCAGTATTCGCAAGGTACGCTTGCTGGTTACCCAGACAAGACCATGATTTGATCTAGAGCATTACAGTCGCGAAAAGGCTCCCTTGCGCAATTGTTATATCCGCGGGTAAGCAACAGCATGAGGGGTCTCACATCCATAGCACAGATCCGAACCCTTTCCACTTTTGTGAATCGCGGTGAGTTGCGGGCGGCCGAATTTTTGACCTCTATTGACATTTTGGCTCTAGATGTGATTACTGTGGTTATTACTGCACCTTACCTTTGGGTACACACAAGGGCTCGATATAATACTTCAAGGATTAACTGCTTCCTGGTAGGACACGTGCAACAAGAACACGAGACAAGCCATGGTTCTATGTCCAAGACTCGCTGGGCTGTTGATGGACTCGCTGGCGCCTCTGTAGAAATTAACGGCCATAAATTCGGGTCCGAGGATGACGGCGCGCCGATGATGTGTAACCTGGTCTGCCAAGACATGGGAAGACATGCTCATCTGGATTATTGTCGAGCGGATCCACAGCAAGTAGGGACTTGCGGTTCTGCCGAAATCCAGCATGTCAGAGAACGGCTCAGACCCAACCCTGAACGGCTAAAGGACTTCATCACGCATTCCTTGTTCTGGAGACGATCGGGTGCGTACCTGGCGACGTACAGCCGATATTCAGCTGACGGTTATCTGATTTCTAGGCTTTAAAGGTCTATTAGGCATTATCCTTTTGCTCCTCTTGCTTACGACACCTATATAGACCCGTATTCCCGCGATGACAAGACTAATTTTACAAAATGGTGTGCCACATCCTGCTTTTCTAGTTACTCTGCCTGATGAACCGGTTTCAGCGATGCCATGTGTCCTGGTAAAATGGATTAGTGCTTGACGTCGGCGTGAGGTAGCTGAGCATTATTTTAGGTCCTGAGCATGCTGGAAATGCGACGAATCCTGCTCAGCCCTCTTACTGTATTTTGCCTCTATTCCACCCACCTGAGACGTCAAACCAACGAGTAGGGTTGGGATATCTGTCCAATGATGGACATGTTTTTCCTTGCAAAAACCCAGCCATCTTGCAGCAAGCTTTTCACGTGTGAGTTGAAAGACCATATTGTCTTCCATACAGATTCTAACTTGCAGCTCATCCAGGATATTTGTCATCGACAGGTTCGCCCTTATACGTTCTGACAACATTATTATTCACTAATATATGCATGCAGGTCGGGCTCCATGGACGGAAGAGACCGTCGGCCATTACCAGATACACCTGTAACGGCAAGTATTCAGGGTACTTCCAACAACAGACTCGGAGCGGTATATTCAGCCCTTTACGCATTTTGGATGTCCCGACATGCTGCATTTACCGCCAATCGTCAGGCTCGAGTTGCAAATCGAAGGGATTCTTATAGTGTCATCCTTTTTGACCACCAGCTTGTTCGGGGAGTAACAAATGACTTCACGAGCTCGCCTCTAGACCTCTTGAATAGCCTTCTACGATATCAAGCCCGAGGCGGAACTGATTATGATACGGCATTGAGTGACGCCCGAAATGTCATGACCGAGAACTGGAGTCCTGAAAGGTACGCTGGAAACTGCCAGAGATGATGGTCGTGGTGCTCAAATAGTTACGCAGAGCTCCTGTCGTCATCTTTCTGTCTGATGGTGAATGCTCTGTTCGAGATGAGTCTGTTCAAGATCTTTGCCGCGTAGCCATTGCATTAGGGTTAGGCACTTCTTTTCTATGAATTTAACTATCGGTATAAACTTTTTTTCACAGGAAACCTCTATCCCTACACACCGTCTCGTTTGGGCCAAGGAATTCGGTCTTACGGCGTATGGCCCTAATAGCTCTTGGAATACAGAACAGTGCCCCGCCAGACCCCAATGCGCCAGCAGCGGCTAGGATTGATTCATCATATGCCGAAGCCCTGGACAGTGTATGTCTCAGTCACGCCTCGTATTTGACTGGATCTAAGTACCCTTGCAGGTTCGTCTGGCTGAAACATTTCTCGGAATTGCGGAGGCGTTGAGGAAACCAAGAGGATCACTCCTGCACTGATCACTCATTGTCCTTCTTTTTGTTGAGAGGCCAACACTTGTTCAAGGTGCTCATCTATATATTCTAATGTTTACGTATGAAGCTTTTCAGCATACAATTTAATGAAAACTTGATAGGTCGTAATATCATAACCAATTGTGTGCGAAGGAGGAGGATAGTTACGTTGCACCAGTCATTGATGGCACCGGTGCTCCCCAGAGGCTAAGCGGATATGAACTACGTATTCCTAGTAGTGAAAATTGCGGCGTCAGCAGATGCAGCACGGGCTCGTGAACTGGGTACGGGTAACATTCATTTCAGCCTGACAGCGTGGATAACGCCAGCGTCGAGAAATAGGGAGACATCGGGATCGAAGTATGCTCAGCCATGGCGGCATCGACGCTGCCGTAGAGCCGTTGCGTGCCGCAGGCTCGCTAATCACCATCTAAGCCGACCCAGAGTATAGCCCCTGTCCAGACGATTTGCTCAAGACAGTTACGAACCCTCTGTCGTTATGACACCCACACCCATCCTCCATATCCCTATACAGTACAATGCGTGATAGTGCATTACGATGGGGTGACTCCCGACCGTATGCATTAGCCACCTTAGTACAGTACAATATGTGATAATGCTTTACTCTCGCTCACAACAGCTGCCTACAGGACATGTTGCATATTGGAGATGGGGAAATATTTCTCCCTGACGTCATTTCGGATGTGGCGCGCCCGAGACTGCACATCGTCTCTTCGTGTCTTGTTCTGTTGGCAGGATATGGGTGACGGACTTATCGGCACGGACATGATCACGCCTTACGCGTCACACTGCATGTGACTATGGACTCTTTACGTCCAGAGTACGTGTTTCCCTTTCATACCTCATATTCACTTACTCACCTACGTACCATAGTTGTAACTAGCTCGTGTGCTCGTATAGGTACAAGGCTATCATGTTCCAAATTTCCTGTTCTTCATGAGCTTTATTCTCTTCGAGCGTATGATCGTCTTATGGAGCTCACTAATACAAATGAATTGTGTGCTATCTCTTTTTCTCGTCTTCATCACGTCGCTCACGTCCTTTCGCCGATGATACATCAGTATGGCCACTGGCGCAGTCGAGTTATTATGTCAGCCTGGTCCCCGGCTGCACGAGAGCATTTCCTCTGTAGACTGGCGCAATTTTGGCATACAGTCTGCATTCAACTGGCTGGACGTATTTGGGGTTATGTGCAGAAGCATACAGCTTTGAACAGCGGCATGAATGTCTTTCGTCCTTTACTTGGAGTCACTCTGCCTCTGCCTGTTCATCTGCAGCATTTGAGGCGGGACATTTTGACGCGTCAACATCACCGTGACAACACTTTACTGTAGCATTAGGGCGTTCGTAATTCTGTCTATGGCCATTCATATGCTTTTCATTCTTTGTCTTATTGTGTATTTTACGATAATACAAAGAGGCGGCGAGTCAGTATACACGTACCTAGCTGAGTTGCTCATGTAACGTAGTCGTCCAATCGCAGCATTTTCCATTTCCATCATTCTTTTTTTTGTAGGGGAGTTTATTTTCCTCATGCCTCGGAAAGAATGGGAAGTAAAAAAGGTGAATATGTCGGCAATATGTAACTTTGTATTGAACATTATAAACAGGCCTGATGGTCTAGTAGTATGATTCCTTGTTACGGTGATATAACTATCGAGGAGGTCCCGGGTTCAATTCCCGGTCAGGCCCAGATTAGTGGATTTTTATCATGGCCAGGTATAGAAGATGTTGGAGTATCCCAGCGATGCTTGATACCCCACATGACTGGCCTTTTTGGTGGTGGACCTCAGGTGAGGTCGTGGCCTGGATATATCCCCTATTTCCACAGCTCAAAAAAGCAGATGTCTCTTTTTTTATCTCTCACTTCATGTAAGTGGCAGAGAGAGGGCATCTATTTAGCCATGCTTTGTTTTGAAACATGCATACTCTTTCAATTCCTGCTTTTTATATTTCCTGTTGACATGTGTGCAATGTGTTCAGACATAATTTTGCAAATTCTATGAATGCAAATATGTGTGCATCCAGTAAGCAATATGATAGTGCATGTAAGACATAGATCAACACACTGAGGCAGGAGCAATATAAACAAATATAATATGAGTAGTGTTGTAATGAGAGCAAGGAGAATATAGAAAGGATGGTAAAATACTTGCCTCTCAAGCAAGAGGTGTCCTACTTAAATACATGTTGTACTACTTCTAGAACTTACTACAAAATACTATGTATGTCCACTTTTATGGTCCAAAGTTGATTCTGCTGAGTAAGCCAATCCTTCAAGTACATTCTAGTACTTGCTCGGGATTGCTATCCCAACACTCCCCCTCAATTCTGAGCTCCTAGAATACCTGCAGATAGATATTCATGTAATGGTCTTGGTAGCCCTTTAGTGAATATATCTGCTAAGTTCTCCTCTGATGTGCAGTGCTGAACTTTGACTTCATTTGAAGCCATGCACTCACAAATGAAGTGATGTCGTATATCTATGTGCTTCGATTGTGTGTGGAATATGGGGTTCTCAGCGAATTTGATCACTGACTGATTGTCGACAAAGATAATGGTTGCATTATCAGGTGGCAATCCTAATTTGGTTAAAATTGCTCACAACCATATTACTTCTTGGGTTGTGTGTGAAAGGGCCATATATTCTGCTTCCATAGTGGATAGAGCTACAGTGGGCTGTTTCTTTGAACTCCAAGTAACAGCTCCCCCTGCATAGGTACAGATATAACCAGATGTTGATCTTCTATCTGTCCTGTCTTCTCCCCAGTCTGAATCTGAGTAGGGTATCAGTTCATCTGTAGTCCCTCCATATATGATTCCAAAATCCAGAGCCCCCTTCAAGTAATGGCAAACTCGTTTCAGAGCTGTGACATGCTCAGCAGCTGGATTTTGTATGTATTTGCTTAATTCCATGACAGCATGTGCAATATCTGGCTGAGATCCATTGGCTGCATACATCAGAGATCCAACACCAGTATGGTAATATTGCCTGGTGGCTGTGTCAGTGCTCTGGGGATCATCTTTGAGGATTTTCTCTTGTCATACATTCAGGTCTATAGACATTTTGACTGGTTTGCAGTCTTTCATGCTCATTCGCTCAAGTACCTTCAAAATATATGCCTTCTAGGATAAGATAATAGTACCCTTCCCCCAATTCCTGTCTATCTTCATGCTCAATATATATTGAATCTCCCCCATGTCTGTAACATTTAGCTTCTTCTTAATCTCTTCTTTCATAATAGACATGGTTTCATCATCTGGGGCAAGTAGTGTCATGTCATCTACATGCACAGCTACAATTGTAGGACCAGAATCCATCTGTCTGATATACACACATTGATCACTAATCAATCTCATGTATCTGAGTCTTAAAAAGGTAGCATTTAATTTCTCATTCCAAACTTGGCCAGATTGCTTAAGTTCATCTAATGTCAACTTGAGGTGTGCTGTCTTGCCACTCCCATTGGAATATTCAGGTGGCTGTGCCATATAAATAGATTCATTGAGCTTTCCATTTAAGTAGGCTCCAATGACATCCATTCCATGAATAATCAGGTTTCTTTGTGTGGCAATGGCCATAAGTAGGCAGAATGTGTCCAGCCTAATTATGGGTGCATATGTCTCAAAGAAATCAATTCCAGGTTTCTGTGAAAATCCTTTTGCAATGAGTCTGACATTGTGCCTGGTGATTTTTCCATCATCATCTCTTTCCAGCCTATAAGTCCACTTGCAATCAATAAATGACCTATCCTGAGATAATTCTTCCAGCTGCCATGTGCCTAGAGAAGTCAATAGATTATATTCTTCATCCATTGCTTTCTTTCAATGATGCCAATCTGGCCTTGTTTTAGCTTCTTCAAGGCTTAATGGCTCATCACTGAGATTATCTGCAGTCTCTCCCACACATACATATTCTACTGCAATATTTGCAGTCTCCAGTGGTTCCTTTGTTACTTCATGCTGCTTCTCTAGCAATTTCATATCTCATGAGGCTGGATTATTAAGGAACCAGTAACTTGGTGAGGCTACTGATGTAATCTAGACTGATTTGTCACATGGCTGAATCATCTTCCCATACTATACAGATAACTTTGATTTGGTTGCTGGATCATCAAGGGCCATTTCCCCTTTTGTTTTGGCATTCTCAGCACCTGTGGATTTGTCTAAAATATCATCATTTCCATCCAAAATCTGCTCGACTTTACTCCCTGACTCCCTCTCAAGCAGTGGAGGATAGGACACAATGTATTTATCATTGTTAGCATTTAAAATGCTCTCTTCAGAGAATATAACATTTCTTGAGATCTGAATCTGCCTGGTCTGTGAATTATAATATCACCAGGCTCTTGATTCATCTGTAAGACCTGTAAAAATAAATTCCCTTAATTTCAGGTCAAGTTTTGACCTTTTGTTATCCTGTTGCAACACCCAGCACTTTGTTCTGAATTCCTGGAGTGTTGAAATATCTGGTTTTATTCCACAAAACACTTTTTCTAGGTTAGATTATTTCTGATGGCTCTAGTTGGTGATCAGTTCTTCAAATATGTGGCATATGCTACTGCTTTGGGCTATAAAAATTTCAGCAGATGATGTTCTTCTAGCATAGCATAAGCATGCTCCACAAGAGTCTGATTGACTCTCTTGGTGACTCCATTTTGAGATGAAGAATATGTGGCAGTCAGTTTTAACTGGATGCCATTACTCTAGAGGTATTCCTTCACCTCCTCATTGATATATTCCTTCCCATTATCAATCCTCATAAACTTCAGATTCCTTCTAGTGTGGACTTTGATGTATTTTTGATACTGCTGAGTTTTCTTTTAGATTTCTGTATCCTGTTTTAACTTTAGAAAATACAATATTGTCTTCCAGGATTTTCCATCCGTGAAGCTTATATAATATCTTTCTCCATGGATGCCCTGAGTTTGGGCTGGCCCCCATAAGTTCAAAGTCATTTTACCTATTTCAGTATAATTCCTTTCAGCTTCTTACAGAAATGGCTTGGCATGATGCTTGGTCTATATGCAGACTTCACAATCCTTCTGGAGCACTGCTGACTCATCCACATTCATTCTCTTAACTATTTTCTTTCTAAATAGTCTCTTTACTGATCCTATGTTCAAGTGGCCCATTATCTAATACTATTTTTATCATGATTGGGCTGGTTTTATCATATAAGCCTGGGTTATTTTCTAGCACAATAATATCTAGGCTATACAGCTTTGATACCTTATCTCTATGGCCAATCCTTTTGCCACATAGTGAGATAATATTCATCCAGGATTCTTTGAATTTGATTTCAAACCCAGCATCTGTGATGATAACCCTGCAAGTACAGTGGGTGTGATGTCTTTTGCCCAAAATATGTAATCTTCTTCATCAGAATCTGACTTGGCAATATGTGCCTGAGTCTGGCCCTTTCCTTTCCTCTTCCATTGCTTCTCAGAATTCTTCTTCCCATTTAAGCAATTAGCCTTAATGTGGTCAGTTTCTTTATATTGATAACATGTGATTTTTAGGTTAAACTTCTTCTTACCATATGCTGCAAGTTGTTGTCATTGGGTCAGAAGTCTTTTCCCACAATTGGATATCTTTTTGGAGAATTTGGGAAATCAATTTATATGAATCCTTCAAGTCTACAGTGTCCACTGATAAAATGAATGAATTCCATAATTCCAAAAGTGATGTAAGCAGTGTGATTGAGAAGTCCTCCTCCTCAACAGTCTGCTTAAGGGATGCCAGCTCCTCCTGGTAGGACCTTATAGTCCTAATATGCTCTTTTATATTTCCTCCTTCTTCATATTGAGCTCTAAAGAATTTTCTTCCAACAAGGACAATTCCCATGGGTCCCCTTGACTCATACATGTTCTTCAGAGCTTTCCAGACTTCTGCCAAAGTCTTAGAACCAGCAATATACACCAGCAGGCCATCCAAAACCCACAGCCTTATTGTCAAAAGAGTCTTTCTATTGCTCTTCTTCTAATCTGCCACCAGTGCCACTTCTGCCAGGGCCACAGAGCTTCTATCAGTATAGTCAATTAGACCTAAATCAGTTAGTATATCAATCATCTTGACTTTCTATGTCAGGTAGTTTTCTGGGCCCTTAAGGGGTTTGATCCTATATATAGACTGGCTATCCATTTGGTTTTATATATGTATATAAAGTATGAGAGTGTAAAGTTGATGATGATGTAAGTAGTTCAGTTAGGGCTGGGGCCCATAACCTGTTGTAATAAGAGTGAGGAGAACATAAAAAGGATGGTAAAATACTATCTCTTGAGCAAAAGGTGTCCTACTTAAATACATGTTGTACTACTTCTAGAACTTACTATGAAATACTATGTATGTCCACTTTTACAGTCCAAAGTTAATCCTGCTGAGTAAGCCAATCCTTCAAGTACATTCTAGTACTTGCTCAGGATTGCTATCCCAACAAAATTCAGGTTGGAATGTGGGATAAGTGTTATGAGTAGAGATATATTCACACATATCCTCTTCAGAAGCACCCAATAGGCTACACAGTGATATGGGAATGGATACTGCTATTATTTTGTATTTTCCAGAAGGTTTCACATTTTGGATGATCTGAGAAAGTGCTGAGATAGTGAGAGCATATAAGGTGGAGATGATAGTAGCTCTGTGAGAATGGCACTGTTCATGGAAGTAAGCCACATCTAAAGTGGAGAACT